AGAAATGGTCGGGCCGCAGGCCCGACCATCACCGCCGGCAGGCCAAGCAGGCCCGGCCCCTGCCGAACGGCGTTGCCGGCGGAGCGAAGCGGAGCTGGCAACTTCGTTTGGCGGAAGGGCGGGCCTGCTTGTTTCCACGTTTATTGAAACTTGAAGAGACTGTTGGACGTGCAGAGTTCCATGCTGACCAGACAGAATTTATACTCATAACTCATACCTAAAACCTTTGGTCTTTGAAAGGATGACAAGAGGCATCTCCTTCCTGAAACCGCGAGCGAAGCGAGCGACAATTATTTTTTCGATTGCACAAGTCAAAACGTGCGGTTTTAAGAGGTATTGCGCTATGCTAGTCATCCCTTGAGGCACTGTTTCCAAATCTCGTATGGTATCGTCAGCCAGGGTGGTTCTAGCCACCAACCTGCAGGCCCAAAATATGGTAGTCTTCCGATCATTCGATTTGGTTGTAGGAGCATTTCAAGACTGATTGATCGTAGGAGAACGCGAGCGAAGCGAGCGAGAATTTTCTTATGAATTTTATGATAGAAAGTTGGACTTTATAAGGATTTTCGCTTCATTAATTTGTGAAATTCATGGGCGAAATTTAGGGAGGGCGCATTCGGTCGAACGCGCTGGCTTAAGGCGCCTTACGGAAACCCAAGGGCGCCCCGTTCCGCCGCGCCTGACTCTGACGGCGCCCCCGCCCGACCTGACGACGCCCCTTTCCGGCCGGATGGCGCCCCCGGAGCTGACGGCGCCCCCTTCCTGCCGGTGGGGAGGGCGCCCCCAAACCGGCAAGTCGGCCCCCCCTTCCCCCGGAGGGCTCCCCCAACCGGCATTTCGGCACCCCCTTCCGGCCGGAGGGCGCCCCCCATCCGGCATGTCGGTGCCCCCTTTCCGCCGGAGAGCGCCCCCCATCCACCATGTCGGCGCCCCCTCAGGGCGTGATGGCGCCCCCTAGCCTAAGACCCCCCGTTCCACCGCGCAACTGTGCCCCTAGAAATCTGTAAATGTTTCCTGTGTGCCAATTGTAGGTGCCGGCCGACGCCTTTCTGGCGCCCCCTTTGGACCTAACAGCGCCCCGCCCCTGGGGCCCCGGAAAATGCCCTCTCCACCCCTATCCCATGTTCCAGCACCCCGAAATGCAGTTCATGTGCCTCATGTGCGCACTTAATGTAGTGGCACCGGTCAAGAAAAGGTGCCTTCGGGGCCTAGGCCAGTTCACTAAGACCCGGCAGCGAGGGCGCCTTCGGCGCTCTCGCACTAAAATTTTCGGTGAAAGCCAGCGGGCGCCTGGCGGCGCCCCTCTCCGGGCGCCTTGGGGGCATTGCCCCCCCCCCCGTTCCGCCGCGCCTGAACAGTGGCTGTGAGTATGACGTGTCAAAAGGGGAGACGCCCATCTCGCTTCCGATGCGGAGATATGAGTGTCCAAAGTGTGCTAAAATCATTGCCGTACGTGTCCGTGCGTAACGCAACGCTCCTAGCGTCCGTGCGTAACGCTGGTTTTTCCCTTGTAGCGCGCGAACGGGGTAGAGTATGACAACCGTGCAAATGCTGACTTGTAGAGACATCTCTCGGCTACCCGCCCCCGTTCTGTCTGGATTATTAACCCGTCTCAACTCGCAGAGTTTGGGGCATAAGTAGGACCATGTGCAAAACTACTTCCGTTTTTTGTCCGTGCGTAACGGCCTCTTGACTTAATTATAAAATCTAAACGGATCATCGCAGAGCAACCGTACACATATCATCGGATAGCTCTTCAAACTCCCTTTAAAACAAGCCTGAGGACGATGCGATTCGCTTCGATCTTCCCTTCCAAAACTGGAATAAACGAGCGATTTTAGCTTACGAATGTCCGTACGTAACGCCTAGAATTGCCCATAGGTTTCAAGTGTCGAGTTCAACCACTCGACCACTAGATGGCGCTTCGGAATTTTGACACATCAAAGTTTTGAATAAGTCATTTGTACGTGAATAAGTCTTTTTAACCAGTCCATTTGTATAACTTGTGGGTGGAGAAAGGGGTATTTAGGCCAGGGGTCTCAGACTGCCGCTCTAGCCGGGGCCGGTCCGCCAGTGGGAGAGAGACAGACAGAGAGCTGACGTGGAGGGGGGCTACCGGCTCGGGCTCGGGCCGAGTGCCGGACCATAGCGAGCCGGGCCACCGCGCGCACTTCGAACTCGAACGGGGAACGGTGCGGAAAAGGGAAAAGTGTGTAAAAGCGTTCTACACGTGTTTCAAGATTCGTGCGAGGGAAAATGGGGAGAGATGTGATAAGTGGCATATATGTACAGATTCAACGTAAATTATTCATTTTAATTATTTTTTTGGTGTGACATCAGACGTATGACAAACCAAACATTGACATGACAAACATGACAACAACAATTTTATTCTGGTGGAACCGGTGACACCTGAGAGCGTCGTTTCAGCATGAGCTCCTGGAAATCGGGCGCCACACTGTTTCGCGACATGATACGGAGTTGACTGAGCAAGTTTTCATCCGTAAGTCTAGAACGAAATTTACTCTTGGCATATTTCATTAGGGAAAACAGCTGTTCACAGATATAGGAGGAACTGAACAGTGCAAACATTTTCATTGCATGTTTCACAATATTTTCATACTTATTACCTAATGATGAATAAAATTCTTTAAGGGGCACTGACAAATATCTTAGTTTCAAGGACCTGTCAAGCTGCAAATCAATTAAATTTAATTTAAGTCCAGAAGGCACCTCGGACACATTAACAGAAAAAGGGTCCGAAAAAATTGCAATGTCCATCTCTAACTTCCGGAAATCCTGAAAACTGCACTTAAATTTCTCTTTGAGCGTATTTAGGGTGGCGACGAACTCTCTCTTGAAGTCACCGGCCAACGACCCGAGAGATTTTAGGTGGGGAAAATGGAAAAGGTCTCCTTTCTCAATTTCAGAGACAAAGAGCCCTAACTTTTGCTCGAAACCAATAACAATTTGGAACATGTCACTGATTAAATTATCTTTACCTTGTAAAGACACATTCATAGAATTAAGGTGTTGGGTGACATCAACGGAAAAGGCTAGCTTTTTTATCCACTCTGGTTTTTGAAGCTGAGGAAATGTTGCAATTAAATTCTTCTCCTTTAAGAAATCAACTAAAACTTCACGCAAATCGAAGAATCTTTTCAGCACCTTGGCCCTACTTAACCAACGCGTTTTATTGTAGTACGGCATGTCCTCATATTCACTTCCAATTCCTTCCAAGAAAGAACGGAACTGCCTGTGGCTCAGTCTTACCTTACGTATCTTGTTTACAACTTTAGTGACAACGTCCATCACGTCGGACGCCTCCAAAGCGCCAGCGCAGAGCGCTTCTTGGTGCACGATGCAATGGATGTGTATAATGGTGTCCGGCAGGCCGAGCCCCCGCAAGTGCTTTCGGACAAGGGCCACGAGGCCATCCTTCGCGTCGCCTTTCATGGAAGGAGCACCATCAGAAGCAAAACCAATGAAACTGAAAGTTGAAAAAAAGGAGCTAAAAATATCGCTATCGCCGTGCGGAAGGGGGTGGGGGGTGGGGGGAATGACCGATTTCTGAATTAATATACCTAGTCCAGGACAAGTTGAAAGTGTCAAATGCCTTCAACAATGCAGCAAAAATGTCCTTCCCTAGTGTGGTCCCCTTTAACGGAACTAAAGTCAGGAGCTCCTCGGTAACTACCATAGCTTCGTCGACGCCACGGACGAAAATAGCCAACTGGGCAGTGTCAACTACGTCCGTGCTTTCATCCAGAGCCAGAGAGAAAAACACAAACTTAGAACACTTGTGGCGGAGTTGTCCCTCGAGGTCGGCCGAAATATCCTTCGCCCGTTCACTGATGGTGTTTGGTGACAAACTGACGGCCTGAAATCTTGAGACCATCTCCGGGCACATAATTTCCGCCGCCTTTAAGAGACACTCCTTCACGAGCAATCCGTCGGTAAAGGGCTTTCCCTTTCGTAAGAGAATGTCACTCAGGACAAAGCTAGCGGTCTGCGCTGCGTCAGATACCTAAAATAAAGAAAGGTTGTGAGCGGTAGTGAGCGAATCAGACAGAGCCCTTCAAGGCGGAAATACAGTAACGCTCTCGTCGGGACTCCCTTTATAGTTACAAACTGGTTGGCGTGCGTGCGTTCATGTCGAGATGCTCCCTCACCCCCTCGTCATCCCCATCCCTCTGCGCGCTCACGCCCCGCGACGCGCCTACGCATGGCCTCTGAGCGCTCTTATGCCCCTTGACGTGCCCACCCCTGCACTGCGCGCTCGCGCTCATAGGCCTTCCCTGGACGCTCACGGCCGCCCCCCCCCCCTCGGCCCCTCCCTACCCACAAGTACAGCCCCTTTCGCGAGCTCACGCCCCACCGCGTGCACACGCCCACACACCCGCACGCACGCAACCTTGTACTCACGTTCAAAACATTTGCTGGTCCGGCTTCGTCTGCTTGCTTTTGTTTTGACGCAAGGAATTCGGTCTTCAGAGTGAACACTTTGGCGACCCGCTCATCGGGCTTCAAATTCTTGTACTCTGCTTCATGCTGTCTGGTGTAGTGCCTTTTCAAATTGAACTCTTTTTTTACACTGCATAGTTCTCTACACACCAAACAAACAGGCTTGTCTGCTTCAACGTCAAGTGTGAAGAAGTATTCTTCCTCCCATCTGATTTGAAAAGATCTGTTCTCCCGATCTACTTTCCTCAATTTAGGAGGCGGCGCATCTGCAGGCGCAGTACTTTTACATGGTTTTGAAAACGACATGTCTGAAAGACGACCTCACCTCACAAGCCAAACACCAGACTGATGGTCCGGCAGTGGCCGGCAGTGGCAGACGAGCGATGACGGGCTGCGTCCGCTCCGGCATCTCGTTCGCGTATTTCGGACAAAAAGGGCGAGAGCGGAGGGAATGTTGCGCAGCGCTCGATTTGAACTTCCCGCGCGACTGTGACGTAGTCTTGTTCGCCTACCGACAAGGGATCGGGAACCGTTCGGGTCCGGCCCACCTGGGGCCGCACGCCGAGCGGCCGGGGCCGGATCTGGCCCGCGGGCCGCCAGTCTGAGACCCCTGAC